AAAATAACAGTGAGTTGTTCCATGTTTGTAGAGGTGAGATGCTGTAACTGAATGTTCAGTATGATTCAGTTTTGTGAGTAGAGTTTGGTCTGATGTTCACAGCTGGAATCAAACAGTTCTCTGTCATCAAACACCTCTGCAGTCATTGGGAGGAGACTCATCTGTTGGACTAGTTTCTTTTCTGAATCTCTTCATCACAACAGTCTCATGAGAGGAGATGATCTAGACTGTTATCAGTCTGATAAAGTTAAACAGTGTGTAACTCCCTCTAGTGGATGTTGTGGAGTATTGTGTTGTCTTCTCTCCAGAGGTTTTTGTACAGAGTTGTGGTGTTTCCTGTCACTGTGGGCCTCACAGCACAGTAGTACACAGCAGAGTCAGTCATTGCAGCAGAGGAGATCTGTAGATCAATATCTATTTTATCCTCTCTCACTGTAACAGACAGTCCAGGCAACGGATCTGATAGTGGTCCTGTTATTGTGTGAGAGATGAGAAACTGTGGTTGAGTTCCTGGATGTTGTCGATACCAGAAGAAGTAATCATCAAGAGCAGCAGCTTTGGAGTATCTGAAGGACAGAGTAACAGTTTGACTTTCTAAACTGTACTCTTCATTCTTAACTGGAGTGAGATCTTTACAGCTGACACCTACAGGAAGAAACAAGATTGACTTCATGCCACAAAGATTTCATTTAGAGTTTGTCTTTTAGATTACAGTCATATTTTGAATGTTAATGATCTTTAAAAAAAAACTCCCTCACTGTCTAATAAAATACAACTAGTTATACATTTTTTGATGGACTCATTTCTTCACCTTCTTTATGAAGCAGGTGTGCAAAGTGTACTTGTACTGTTAGTATTAATCATGTCACATACCTGTCAGAAGGCTCAGAAACAAACTCATAAACAGACTGAAGTGCACTGCCTCCATCTCAGAGACGTGACCTGTTTCTGTTAAAACAACACTGAGAAATGTTCTGTTTCTGAGCCTCACTCATATCTCAGCTCCTCCCTTCACCTTCTCTTCTAATAATTTACCTTTCAGTAATTGTTTTTTCATCACACTTGATAACTAATGACCTTGTGAATTTAAAAGAAACCTACTGTATGTTCTATAAAAAGTCATAAAAAGATATTATGTACTTTCTGCATATATTAAATTATACTTTCGGTGGTTTTATGGTTGATATTTTTTCACGATGAATGCACTTGAGCTTGTATGGGGCTTTTCTAGTCTTCTGATTACTCAAAGCTCTTTTACACCACAGGTCACCCCAACACATTCACACGCTGATGGTAGAGGCTGCTGGGTAAAGAGTCCATTAGTATTAACTCATCCATTCACACACTGATGGTAGAGGCTGCTGAGTAAAGAGTCCATCAGTATTAACTCATCCATTCACACACTGATGGTAGAGGCTGCTGAGTAAAGAGTCCATCAGTATTAACTCATCCATTCACACACTGATGGTAGAGGCTGCTGAGTAAAGAGTCCATCAGTATTACTCATCCATTCACACCTGATGGTAGAGGCTGCTGAGTAAAGAGTCATCAGTATTAACTCATCCATTCACACACTGATGGTAGAGGCTGCTGAGTAAAGAGTCCATCAGTATTAACTCATCCATTCACACACTGATGGTAGAGGCTGCTGAGTAAAGAGTCCATCAGTATTAACTCATCCATTCACACACTGATGGTAGAGGCTGCTGAGTAAAGAGTCCATCAGTATTAACTCATCCATTCACACACTGATGGTAGAGGCTGCTGAGTAAAGAGTCCATCAGTATTAACTCATCCATTCACACACTGATGGTAGAGGCTGCTGAGTAAAGAGTCCATCAGTATTAACTCATCCATTCACACACTGATGGTAGAGGCTGCATTTGGGATTTGAAGTGAAAATTTGGCTTTTAAGATAATATGAATAATTATTATAAATTGATATCATATTATACATTAGTAACAGTAATAAATACAATTATACATCTGGATTAAAAATAGACTTTATTAATAATTCATCATAATTATTTTATTATACTTTATCACATCAAATCCCAATATAATTGTTGCCCCGTGTAAGGTTAACTGAGTGGGTCACCGGGGCTTTTATGTCCTGCCCTGCGTCATGGGGACCCCCATGGAACTCCTTTGGTCTTCCCATTGATGGCAGAAAGTCCAAGCTTCCCTTTTTTCATATCTAGGTGTGAGGTGCTGCGGGTGGTGCAGGGAATACACTTTTTCCAGGTCCCTTTTACATTTTCCCACCAAATATACTGAAGTCAGGCTTTGAGAGGGGCTACAGGCCAGAGCCTTTGTCTCCCTGGCTGGCCCTAACACAGCTTTGAACTCTTACATTTGTACACCGCTGCAATTTGTGGTTCTTTCCTGTGGACCCTCGGATATGAATGCAAGATCTGGGGATCACAACCTGACCACTGGGTTTAGAGACCACCGACTATCATTGATTCACAGCCGCCTCTTTATGTCACTCATTTTATTTTGTTCAATCGTTTGATTTGTTACACTGGTTTGATTTCAGAGGAAGTTCCTTAAATATCACTTAGGCTAAGCGTTAACCTTTACAACATTTTTTTTTCCTTTTCACATGATTTAATGTGTTTTCATGAAAACATTATTTTTTGTCTTTTTTTTTTGCAGATGATGCAGTTGTGTTTGCTTCGTCAGATTGTGACCTCTAGCAGACTTGCAGCTGAGTGGGAGGAGTGAGATTCAGGACTTCCAAGTCTGAGAGCATGGTGCTGAGTCATTTATATTTAAAAGAAGACATACTTTATTAATCCTACGAGGGGAAATTACTTTTACAATCGCGGGTCAGCACCTTCAAGTCTGAGGCCATGGTTCTCTGCCAGAAAATGTTGGATCGCTCCCTCCGGGTGGGCAGTGAGTCATTGCCCTATGTGGAGGAGTTGGTAGCTCGGGTTCTTGTTCACAGTGAGGTTAGAATGGACCGTGAGATTGACAAATAGATTGGGGAAGCATCAGCAGTAATGTGGGCGTTGTGTCGGACCGTCATGGTGAAGGGGGGAATGAGCCTGAAGCCAAAGCTCTCAATTTACCAGTCGATCTTTGTTCCAAACCTCACCTGTGGTCCTGAGCTTTGGGTAGTGACCAAAAAAATGAGATTGCAGATACAAGCAGCAGAAATTAATTTTCTCCAGAGAGTTTCTGGGCTCAGCCTTAGAGATAGGATGAGGAGCTCATACATTCCAGGGGAGCTCAGAGTAGAGCCACTACTCTTTCACATCGAAAGAAGCCATTTGAGGGGGTTCAGGCATCTGATCACGATACCTCCTGGACGCCTCCCTTTTATGGTTTTCCAGGCCAGTCCAACCGGGAGGAGACCTAGAGCTCACTACAGGGATTATATTTCCCATCTGGCCTGGGGACTAGGATCCCCAGGAGGAGCAAAAGAAAGTCAGGATGTCTGCAGCAACTTTGTTAGCCTGCTGCCACCGGGACCTGACCCTGGATAAGCGGAAGATAATGGATTGATGGATGGATATCACGTTTTATCATTATCACAATATGGAAAAAAATGTTTTACTTTTTTTTCTCATGTAGTCCTGGCTGAATCCAAATCTGCACCTTCTGGACCAGTGTCCCCCCGACCCTAACGAAACAGAACAAGTCCTGCACAAGCCTCTGCTGCACTCTGCTGGACTAACATCTAAAACACCTCTTCACTCTGTATGCTATGATTTCATTTCCTTTTAATGTGAATAAGCATTTCATTAATGAAGTATTCTGTATTTCACATATGTTCACAGCTTTTTTAAAACTCCTTTTCCATATTAACCTTCAGGTCTGTCAGTTAGAACTCAGTAAGGCACTGTGTGTATTTGTTCTGTCCTAATCTTCAGGTAGTACACTGTAGGTTAGGTTCAGGTTAGTTTAATTGTAAAGTGTGGAAACAAATTTATGAGGAATCAAAGCTGTTCAAATTGAATCATCAAGTTAGGACTCTGATCCTGATCCTGCCGAGCTGCGTTCTTTCTGTGAATTATACCTGCAGACTTTCCAGAGGGACTTGTCCACAGTTCACTGGGAATAAATGACATGAAAAGTTTTGAATGACTTTGTTTTTCCACACAACGTTAAAGACGTTCAAAACTTCAACCAATGTCTGCCACGAGGTACCAATCTGATGAACCAATCAGACGCCTCCCTGTCTCCCTGCTCGCTCTCTACCCCATGGCGTGTTCTAGCCCAAACTCAAAGCACGAGCTGAGGTCGGCTTCTGGACCAATGGCGCTTGTGTATGTAAGTGAGGGGGCGTGGCTTTAGAGGGAGCACAGAGGGGGGGGGGTGCAGACGGAGCACTGAGGGAATGCTACTTTCAAAATCATGCTAGTTTTAGAAAATGACCAACCAGCCTTTAAGTGTCAGGAAACTGTGCAGAGACTCAATATTCAGCTAATCAGCCACTAAGGGAAGAATTCAAACTAGTTCAAGTACTGGTGGGGGCGGCAGTAGCTCAGCCTGTAGGGACTTGGGTTAGGAGGGGGGTTGCCGGTTCAGGAGCAGCTCAGGAGCCCCCCCCCCCCCCCCCCGTCAGGATCCTGTTTGTGTGTGTCGCATATTCAGTGACAGAGTGGAACTTTTTATTTCCCCTCTCGGGATCAATAAATATATCTTCTTCAACGTGTTTCATTCTTGAGATTTGTATTATTTTCATTGATAATAAAATGAAAGGAATAAATGATAAATATATGTTTTATATGTTTTATATGTTTTATATGTTTTATATTTTGACACTGGGAGATGTTTTCTTCATGAAGCTTCTGTGTTCAGTGAAGAGCCGGGAGGCAGCTTTAGGTTTCTGTGTGTGAGGTGTTCAGAGGAGCAGGTAAACCACTTTAACTCATCCTACATCTGTTTGTGTGCAGCCACAGGGCGTGGGACCTTTAACTCCTACAACGCTGCAGCTCATTGGTCAGCACGATCAGGTGGCCGCCAGCCATCCAATCACAAGCGTGGGTCTTGATATGTCAACGTCCGGGTTCTTTTCAGCAGGAAGAGTCGCCGCATCATAATTTCTGTCACTGTAAATGGATCCATCAATGTACTTTTATATTGACTTTACATTTTAAAAACAACAACCCCTGAGTCGTGACGTCACCTGTCACCTGAGAGGTAGATGACAGCTCCAGGTGAGGCGTGAGTCCGACGGTGGAGAAGCTAACTGCTAACGTTAGCCCGCAGAGAGGTGAGCCGACACAGCGGCTCACAGCGCTGCTCCGACCCCAGATAAGTGGCTCGAGAGGCGGCCTGTCGGAGGGACGACCCCCGCTGTCGGTCGCTCATCCCCGGGTCTGCAGCGTGAGGCGCGCCGGAAGTCCTGCTGAAATGTGACACTTTAACGCGTTCATGAGCACCTGAGCAGAAAAACACACCCTGCTAATCTGACTGAACACTTCTTAAAATTAGACAACTTTGTGCTTAATTCGGCGCCTTTCATCCTCCAGTTTATAATATTTAAAATCTTTAAATAACTGGAATAAAAGTGTGGATGAGGTGTTTGTCCACAGCAGGTTCAGGTTTGATTGAACATTAACATCAGTTCTTTAAGTGATGCTGAGCAGAGGAGTAGATCATCAGCTGTCCAAAATGCAGAAATCAAAGGTTGACCATGAACCGGTTCTGTTGCTCCATGAGGTTGTCAACATTTTCAATTCTTTGGTACTTTAAAAACCACGTGTTTCAAACTGACACAGTCTCTGAGTCAACCCGAACAGAAGCTTCAAACGTCTTCAGTCCACTGAGTTCACGTCGTGTATTGTGTAACCTCGTCATACTGTGACGCTGTCTGTCACTGATTGTGAAGTCATGATCAGAAGAGAAAAGTGTTGCTGCAGGCCTGATGCTCTCTGAGTGTAGTGACATCTCAAACTGGACGTTTCCTGCTTTCACAGCGATGTGTGTGTCGCAGACTTCACATCGTTAAGTCTTTCAGATATCCTCAACCTTAAAGCAACAGAAAACGGGCGTGTTGGTCGATATTTTGACCCTGGAGCTCAGACGACCTCCGACTGATTGAAAAGAGTTTTTCGTTCATGTTTGAATGTTTGCTGTCTTCAGTTGCTTCGTGTATGGGTGACTGAAGAGCAGCCATGAGCGCGGAGCCGGACGCCCTGGCCGTGGTCAACCAGCTGCGGGACCTGGCCGCCGACCCCATGAACCGCAGGGCCATCGTCCAGGACCAGGGCTGCCTGCCAGGACTCATCCTGTTCCTGGATAACCCCAACCCTCAGGTCGTGTACTCCGCCCTCCTGGTGAGCTCACAGGTCATCCTTTGTTTGTAGTTTGTGTGCCATCCCCCCTCACACCTGGAGAGTGCTGAGTCATAGTCCAGGTTTAGGATCAGTATTTTGGTACCATCACCCGGTTCTCTGCTCCCCCCCCCCCCCCCCCCCCCCCCTCTTCATCTGGCTGACTGTGATTGGTTGTTCCAGGCGATCCGTTACCTGGCAGAATGCCGAGCCAACCGGGAGAAGCTGAAGGGGGAGCTGGGGATGATGCTGAGCCTCCAGAACGTCGTGCAGAAGTGAGTCCTGATGTCACCGACTGTGACCCCGACCGTGACCCCGACTGTGACTGACCCCGACTGTGACTGACCCGAGTGTGACTGACCCCGACTGTGTGACTGACCCCGACTGTGACCCGACTGTGACCCCGACTGTGACTGACCCCGACTGTGACTGACCCGACTGTGACTGACCCCGACTGTGACTGACCCCGACTGTGACTGACCCCGAGTGTGACCCCGACTGTGACTGACCCCGACTGTGACCCCGACTGTGACCCCGACTGTGACCCCGACTGTGACCCCGACTGTGACTGACCCCGACTGTGACTGACCCCGACTGTGACTGACCCCGAGTGTGACCCCGACTGTGACTGACCCCGACTGTGACTGACCCGAGTGTGACTGACCCCGAGTGTGACTGACCCCGACTGTGACCCCGACTGTGACCCCGACTGTGACTGACCCCGACTGTGACTGACCCCGACTGTGACTGACCCCGAGTGTGACCCCGACTGTGACTGACCCCGACTGTGACCCCGACTGTGACCCCGACTGTGACCCCGACTGTGACTGACCCCGACTGTGACTGACCCCGACTGTGACTGACCCCGACTGTGACTGACCCCGACTGTGACCCCGACTGTGACCCCGACTGTGACCCCGACTGTGACTGACCCCGACTGTGTGACTGACCCCGACTGTGACCCCGACTGTGACTGACCCCGACTGTGACTGACCCCGACTGTGACCCCGACTGTGACCCCGACTGTGACTGACCCCGACTGTGACTGACCCCGACTGTGACTGACCCCGACTGTGACTGACCCCGACTGTGACCCCGACTGTGACTGACCCCGACTGTGTGACTGACCCCGACTGTGACTGACCCCGACTGTGACTGACCCCGACTGTGTGACTGACCCCGACTGTGACTGACCCCGACTGTGTGACTGACCCCGACTGTGACTGACCCCGACTGTGACTGACCCCGACTGTGACCCCGACTGTGACTGACCCCGACTGTGACTGACCCCGACTGTGTGACTGACCCCGACTGTGACTGACCCTGACTGTGACTGACCCCGACTGTGACTGACCCCGACTGTGTGACTGACCCCGAGTGTGACTGCTGCACTAATGAGTTCTTCTAATGAGTAACTGGTCTCGTCCAGGTCGACGACTCCCGGGGAGACGAAGCTGCTGGCGTCTGAGATCTACGAGCTCCTTCAGGCGTCGGGCAGCTCCGACTCTGAGACAGCCGAGGAGACGGTCAGCAGCCGGCGTAAAGCCCAGTTCTTCCTGGGCTCGAGCAACAAGAGAGCCAAGACGGTCGTCCTCCACATCGACGGGCTGGACGACTCGGTGAGCGGGGAACAGTGGATGATGACATCACTCGGGGTTTTTCCCCAGAAACAAAAAACAGACCGCTATTCACGGATATGATGAGAATCATCTCAGAGAGCTTCTAGCTTAGCTGAAATATTCTTTCAGTTTATTTAATTATTAACCAAACAACAACACCTCAAATGAAGAAAAATCTTTCATAGAGACAATAATTAACATCATTAGAGAAGCTGCAGACCAACACTACTCACATCCCACTCGTAGTTCTTAAAGGACCAATCAGTGAGCTGTGTAGAGAGTGAGATGATAAAGGTATCTTACTATCTGATCATTAAGGAAACATGCTATGTTGAAGTGCTGGCTTCTCGACACGCCCCCCACACGGCCGTTTTGGACGCCCCTCTGTTTGTCAGATATGAGAGCAGTTATCAGGTCAACAGGTGTTGCAGCGATGGAAGCGGGCAAGAGAAGTGGTTCAGATAGAAGTGATTGTACCCGACCTAAAAAGCCTCTGCATGTTTCTAATAAGCTCCACGAGCAGAAACGTGCTCAAACTAGGATCAATATTGGAGATGCTTTAGAAAAATGGAGAGAGGTTAGAACACAGAAAGGTTTACAGACCCATGCAGAGCTGGATAAACACTGAAGCTTCAGAGTCCACCACATGGTGACCTGAGTGAGGGGGGGGGAGACAGCTCTCTATGATGTTTAGAATTCAGACTGCAGTACCCATTTCAAACACTAGGGGGGCAGAGTTACATACTGCTCCTTTGAGTTACAATTCAGTTAATGTCAGAAGATCACTAAATGTTGTACCTGTCACAACAACACTGAACTTCTATCAAGGAGTCGTAGCTGAGGAGTGATTTGGAAACTCTGAGCAGAAACCTGAATGTGATTGTGGAGGCGTGCTCGACCTCGTCGTTAGGGATGACACATTCTTTCAAAGGCTGTGAAACCAGAAGTAAAAAAGAACATGAATCACTCTTTAGTGATTATGTAAGCCACACTTTAAAAGTTTACAGATTACAAAATGTTTGCTCTCACACCCACGTGAGAGAATCCTCTTCACTGACTGATCGTTTGGTGATGTCTGTTTTTCTGCAGAGTCGGAGGAGTCTTTGCGAGGAGGCTCTGCTGAAGATCAGAGGAGTCATCAGCTTCACCTTCCAGATGACCGTCAAGAGATGCATCGTCCGGATCCGCTCTGACCTGAAGGCCGAGGTCAGACCAAAATCGGCCTCCTTACACGCCACATCTATTTTCATCACTTCAAAATCAACGAATCAGATTCATAAGATTCAGCTTTGTTTTAAAATCAGAGAGAGAGGGGAACGACATCGAGAGAGGAGCCGCACGCTCTGAGGACTACAGCCTCTGTACATGAGGCACGGCCTAACCACTAGGCCATCTGCGCCCCGATTAAGATTTAAAGCCTTAAAAAGAAGATAACGCTGTTTTTTAAAATAAAAATCACTTTATTTACGTTAAAGTAATTTTAAACTCCAACTTAGCTTCAGTGTAAGAGAGAAGTGGGTGACGGAATAATCCAGCTGATAGTCGAATGTTTTGTGTTTTCAGGCTCTGGCGTCTGCGATCGCGTCCACTGTGGTGATGACGGCTCAGCAGGTGGTGAAAGGAGAGAACGGAGACGAGGTGAGTGTGAGGCGTTCAGAGAGCGCCGCTGCTGTCAACGTAAATCCTGCTCTTCCTAGTTCTTCAATACGTCCGCTGAGTCAGGTTAAAGTAACAGGCGTGTGGACGTTAACCTGCAAGGAGGACTGTTAGCAATGCTAACGTTAGCCATTTAGCAAACCTATTGTACATCGTTTACAGACGGCCAAATTCAACCCACAATGCACTGCTGTTCGGTTCACTTCCCTCATATGGTTGGGATCATGAACACTTGGAAGCGAACCGAGACCCCCGTTTTGAGGCGGACCAGAGTTCAGTTCGTTTGAGCGTTCCCGATGAGGGATCAGGAAAGTTTATCGTTCAGAGTTTCCTGTGAGTCTGATGGAACTTTTCCTCCGCAGGTTTTGATCCCGTTTGCGGAGGACGGCTCGGTGGCGGTGGAGCAGAACGTGAACCTGCCGGACTACCTCCCCGAGGACGAGAGTCCGTCTCAGGAGCCCGACAAGGCGGTGACCCGGGTGGGATCCGGTCAGGACGGGGCCGGCTGGCTCGGCACCGCCACCAACTTCCTGTCCCGCTCCTTCTACTGGTGATCCTGCAGGCCCCGCCCCCCCATCTGTTACACCTCCCGCCTCCTCTCAGAACCAAAATCTACCAGCTGCCAAATGTCAGCTGTGTGTGTCGGCGGCAGAGACGGACACTGAGACAAACTGCAGTCAGAGACGAGCCGACCCCCCAGGACCGTGGATTCTGTCTAAAGTCTCCGTGTGAACACGACCCCCCCTCTGTTACCAAAATGTCTTAAGAGCAGCAACATGAACAAACCGAGGACCGAGCAGGACCAACCTTCTTCTTTATTTATTATTAACCACCAGACTGAGTGAAGTTCAGTCAGCTGTGCCTTCACCTCCTCGTCATCTATCACTTTAAAGAAAGATCCAAAACTCTGACAGATCTCAGCAGAGCGAGGCGTCGAGTAACATCATGTCTGATTCAGTGTTGGGCAGTAATAATATTCCAGTTACACACACAAACCTTACTGTTGTTGTTATTACATCTGATTTAAAATACAACAAACCCCAGATTGATTTCGTCACGTCAGCCAGGCAGGACGTCAGCGAGCATCATGGTTACCAGGTTTAAAGTTTTCCTGTGGGGCTTCTTTTTAGGAGGTTGACTGTTATTAGGTCGTTTTTTTTTTTTTTGTCAGTTGTTGTCACATACCTGGCAACCCTGGTTAGCATGGAAGATGGAAGCGCTCATGTTTACATTCAGCGCCCGGAAATATTCACACTACTTTAGTTATCTTGAGAGGACAGATGAAGAGAACATTGTTGTCAAATGTAGATTTTGTCCCGGTACTCGGTCTCTTTCTACTACAAAAAACACGACCTCAAACCTCCTTAAGCACTTACAACAGCAACACAACAACACAACAACAACAACACAACAACTACAACACAACAACAACAATGTGAAGCTTGTGTAAATGAACCCCACCAACGAGCCCTCTGCGGCCGCAGACGATAGCTGTAGCTCTACAAAACAACCAAGACTGGATTTTAATCGTGGACAGCTACAAGCGAAAAAGAACTAATGAAACGAAAAGTAACATAAGGAGTAATGTAACATGTTACTGTTGACAGAGTAATAAATAAAGTAACATCAGGAGTAATGTAACATGTTACTGTTGACAGAGTAATAAATAAAGTAACATCAGGAGTAATGTAACATGTTACTGTTGACAGAGTGATAAATAAAGTAACATCAGGAGTAATGTAACATGTTACTGTTGACAGAGTGATAAATAAGGTAACATCAGGAGTAATGTAACATGTTACTGTTGACAGAGTAATAAATAAAGTAACATAAGGAGTAATGTAACATGTTACTGTTGACAGAGTAATAAATAAAGTAACATCAGGAGTAATGTAACATGTTACTGTTGACAGAGTGATAAATAAAGTAACATCAGGAGTAATGTAACATGTTACTGTTGACAGAGTGATAAAGTAACATCAGGAGTAATGTAACATGTTACTGTTGACAGAGTGATAAATAAAGTAACATCAGGAGTAATGTAACATGTTACTGTTGACAGAGTGATAAAGTAACATCAGGAGTAATGTAACATGTTACTGTTGACAGAGAGTGATAAATAAAGTAACATCAGGAGTAATGTAACATGTTACTGTTGACAGAGTGATAAATAAAGTAACATCAGGAGTAATGTAACATGTTACTGTTGACAGAGTGATAAATAAAGTAACATCAGGAGTAATGTAACATGTTACTGTTGACAGAGTAATAAATAAAGTAACATAAGGAGTAATGTAACATGTTACTGTTGACAGAGTAATAAATAAAGTAACATCAGGAGTAATGTAACATGTTACTGTTGACAGAGTGATAAATAAAGTAACATCAGGAGTAATGTAACATGTTACTGTTGACAGAGTGATAAAGTAACATCAGGAGTAATGTAACATGTTACTGTTGACAGGGAGTGATAAATAAAGTAACATCAGGAGTAATGTAACATGTTACTGTTGACAGAGTGATAAATAAAGTAACATCAGGAGTAATGTAACATGTTACTGTTGACAGAGAGTGATAAATAAAGTAACATCAGGAGTAATGTAACATGTTACTGTTGACAGAGTGATAAAGTAACATCAGGAGTAATGTAACATGTTACTGTTGACAGGGAGTGATAAATAAAGTAACATCAGGAGTAATGTAACATGTTACTGTTGACAGAGTGATAAATAAAGTAACATCAGGAGTAATGTAACATGTTACTGTTGACAGAGTGATAAATAAAGTAACATCAGGAGTAATGTAACATGTTACTGTTGACAGAGTGATAAATAAAGTAACATCAGGAGTAATGTAACATGTTACTGTTGACAGAGTGATAAATAAAGTAACATCAGGAGTAATGTAACATGTTACTGTTGACAGAGTGATAAATAAAGTAACATCAGGAGTAATGTAACATGTTACTGTTGACAGAGTAATAAATAAAGTAACATCAGGAGTAATGTAACATGTTACTGTTGACAGAGTGATAAATAAAGTAACATCAGGAGTAATGTAACATGTTACTGTTGACAGAGAGTGATAATAAAGTAACATCAGGAGTAATGTAACATGTTACTGTTGACAAGTGATAAATAAAGTAACATCAGGAGTAATGTAACATGTTACTGTTGACAGAGTGATAAATAAAGTAACATCAGGAGTAATGTAACATGTTACTGTTGACAGAGAGTGATAAGTAAAGTAACATCAGGAGTAATGTAACATGTTACTGTTGACAGAGAGTGATAAGTAAAGTAACATCAGGAGTAATGTAACATGTTACTGTTGACAGAGTGATAAATAAAGTAACATCAGGAGTAATGTAACATGTTACTGTTGACAGAGTGATAAATAAAGTAACATCAGGAGTAATGTAACATGTTACTGTTGACAGAGTAATAAATAAAGTAACATCAGGAGTAATGTAACATGTTACTGTTGACAGAGTGATAAATAAAGTAACATCAGGAGTAATGTAACATGTTACTGTTGACAGAGAGTGATAAGTAAAGTAACATCAGGAGTAATGTAACATGTTACTGTTGACAGGGAGTGATAAATAAAGTAACATCAGGTGTAATGTAACATGTTACTGTTGACAGAGAGTGATAAATAAAGTAACATCAGGTGTAATGTAACATGTTACTGTTGACAGAGAGTGATAAGTAAAGTAACATCAGGAGTAATGTAACATGTTACTGTTGACAGAGTGATAAATAAAGTAACATCAGGAGTAATGTAACATGTTACTGTTGACAGGGAGTGATAAGTAAAGTCATTACATTACTTTGAAAAAGAGTAACGAGTAATATATTCATTTTTTTCAGTCACGAGCCCAACACTGGTCTGATTACAGTTTCACACAAAGACTAGATATGAACACGCTTACATCACATCCTCCATTTCTGACCTTTTGGCCTTCCGATCACTTAAAGATACTTTTATCATTCAAACAAAACTCAAACCTCGGCCGCAGACTTTGTTGGAGAGGTGGAGAGACCCCGAGAACGGGTAGCGTTAAATGACTTCCAGCAAGGACGTCATTTTTCCCCGTGCGCTACGTTGTTTACAGTCTGATTAGCAGCTTAAGAAACAACCGTGAGTTCAGATCAGAAGTTACGTGACATCCTCCCCTCCGGATGGCTCTGCAGAATTAACGCCGTCGTTTCATTATTCGACGAGGCGGAGCGCCCGTTCATCAGTTTCCTGTGAGTCTCAGATGAACTGTGATTAATAAGTCGCACAGAGGCGTCACTCTGGGTCACTTCAGTCTGAACCTCTTCATGCTGAGATCTGTTTACAGAGTTAAGTCATCATCGCTGAGTCAGCACGTCGTTACGGAGGATTGTGTTCCTCCTGCATGCGATTCTACACGGACTACAAACAGAAACCACATCACCTCTCAGACTAAGATCCAGCCGCCTCAGCACAGATTTCACATTTTTACACAGTCAACGTGTTGAAAAGGATTCTGGGTATTTGTCATAATTTTTTGACGGTAATGATAACTGTTACGCCCCCTTCCTGTGATGTCACTGCACTCCTGCGTTACCATGGTGACGCACCCATGTGCAGACAAGAGGTCAGAGACTTGTAACTGAAAGGCGACTGGTTTGATTCCTCTTCACTCGTCCTGCTGGGATCAACGAGACCCAATGCTGCTTTACTTCCTGTTTTTGCCCCGCCTTCCTGCTTCGCCTGCAGCCGAACGTTCACCACGTTTACTTCTCTTCTGTTTCTGTGAAGTCTTAACAGGAACTCAGATTTGTGTTTGTGTTTAAATCAGAGCAGACTTTAAACTCCTCAGTTTGACAACGCCCTGACCGTGAGAGAAGGCGTCTGACACAGCGCCTCCTGCAGGATTCAGTGGTGAAATGTTTGTAATTCAGAGTGAATTCATTTCTCTCCTTCGAAGCTCACATTCCTTCTCTCCTGTGAAACAAACATGGAGGACTCTGAGGATAAAGAAACAGTTCTTTTAATTTCGCACAAACACTCGGTGAGCGCTGACATGTTCTTTACACTCCATCGGTGTCTCCTCAGAGTCATGAAACGACCTTTAATGACCTTGTACAGATTTGTCCTCGTGTGATGTCGGCGTTATCGTCAGTGACTCTGCGTGTTCGTGTACCTGAGCCACAGCAAGCCCTCTAACATTGAATATGATTCCGTTTTTAATAGAGTTTGACTTTGAGTCTCAATCTAACGTGTTGAACTTAAATTTTAGCCGTCATCACAGATTTACAGATCGGATTTATTTTACTACCTAACTAATAACAACTGGGTGCTGAATCCCGACCGCTATATGACGTCATTCTAAACGGCTCATGCTCGGGCACGGTTTGAAATCACCCTTAAACTTTTCTTTCTTTGTCCCTGACGCTGTGTGTCACATCCCGTCTCCCTCTACACTGCCCCCTACTGTTCATGTGCATACTGCATCTTGCGTCAGTGTAGCATTAAAGTAGCACTGCTCCAAACGGGCGCATGGCAGCCATCCTGCATTCGTGTATTCGTAGTTGAACGCGGGTTAATCCTCAACTAGATTCAGTTTCAAGAACTTAATTTTGATAATTGAAAACTTGATTTTAGATTTTAATTAGTAAATAATGAAATCAGCACTGTGAGAACGAGCGTTTATATCCACAATAATCAGAGAAACGAGTCAGAATTGAACTGATAAATAAACACAAAGTGATCATACATCGTTAGCCTTTTAATGTTACAGGGCTTGCTTTCCTAGCTCCGCCTCCACCACCACACTGTCCAATGACATCCTGAGATGTAAGCATGACGCTTTGATGTTGATGCTTGTTTCGACCTGAACACAGACGACAATGATTATAAAAACGATTTTACACGCAAAGTTTTCTCCTTGAACAGGTTTAAAGTGTTTGATTGATTTACGGTCGCTCATGCTGTCACTCCAACATCCCAAGAAACATTTGTAAGTTCATAAAAACATTCTAATTTTAAAAAGCTCTACTCGTTGATGAATAGTGACTCACGAAAAGCCGCCGGTCTCTGTCGGGTTTGATGTCTTCTCCCTCTGATGTATTTTCTATGCAGATGACACTCTTCTGTCGTTTTTCTGAACTAGAAACTTTGGACAAATTAGTATGTGTATTTCCTCTGAAGCAGCAAAACAACCGAACAATAAAACATCAGAGACTCCACGTTGAATCCATTCAACAGGTACAAAGTGAACATAACCACACACTACCACTACGAAGCCACTCTAGTTAATGCTCCTGTTTCTACAGCCAGCGCCTCTACGCTCTGCTCCTTTTCAAAAATGCTGCTAGTCTGAAGAATAGATCACCTCAGACAGGAAGTTGACATTATGGTCGACGCCGATGTGGTTTTCGTGAGCAAGAAGTGACCATATTTGGAAAAGAGGGAGGAGCTGTTAACTCGCTCCTTTTCAGCTCCACCCTATTTTCCAAATATGGTCACTTCTTTTTTTATTAGCCGCGTTTGGTCGGTTTGACTGTAATTGAACTTCATGCTGCATTGAAGAAGACTCGAATCTCCAGATTGAGACCATAAACTAATCAGGAAAATGTTTACTTTTTCATAGACTTGTATTTATAATCAGTGGAGTCACC